GAGGCCTGCAGGAAGAGCGACCTGCCTGGCCCTGAGCCTGGGACTGAGCCTGGGTGGCCTGCCAGCGCCAGGGCTGTCATTTCAAGGGGGGTGGATGGAGGGGCAAATGGGGGTATTGAGGGGGAGGTAGTGGCCAGGTGAATTATGTAGCGGGGGCATCTGGTTGGTTGGCCTGTGTGGGACATATGGTCCTCGTCCCCGGGGAAGCTTTTACTGGAGGTCGTCTGGTACGGGTGGCCGGTCCTGAAGCAGGAACTAGATGGGTTGCCGGTGACACCGCTAACCCCCCCCCCCCCCCCATCCCGATTGTAGGCTCCCTCCGGTAATCGCGGGACCAGCCACCAGCGCTGCCTGGGCCTCAGTCCTGGGATTATTCGATGTGAGTGAATGTGTGTCCATTAGTTATGTGTGAATGTGTGGCAAACTTTATATTGACCAGTGGGAAGAGGGTATTAATAATAACTACTAACATTGGTAATGCTACGTCTAAATATGCATTCTCATAAAAAAAAAAAAAAACGGTTACGAAAAGGGCCCTAACTTCTATTTTCACCTAACATTGATTAACATAAAATTAAGGTAAATTTCAGATCTGTATATTTGTAATATCTGTAATTTAATAGTATATATCAAACTATTTCTTTACTATTCTAATTTGTGACTGTCCAAATATGTTGACATGCACACAGATGGCTTTATAAATGTGTCATGCTTCAAAGTTTGGCTCATTCCTAACCAGGTTTTGCTGAGCACATAAGGAAAAAAATAAAGGAGAAGTTTTAATTGAGAGAAAAATCAAATGAATAGTTTAGCAATTTTATAAAAGCCTGCTTGAAGAACAAATCTAGCAGTTCAGGGCCACATCTTCATTCAACTGCAGTGGTGTGTTTCATATGAGGAGCAGGAAGGGAGGGGTTTGGGAAGCAGAGCAAGAGAAATGTTAAAGCAAAGGAAAATTAGATGAAACCTTTTGTACCCGTTTCCCCCGCTGAATTCTTTGATGGGTTCTCTGTTGCATAATGATATGCAAATATGACAGAATATGAAAGTGGTTCTGAGTGGGGGAGAAATCTTTCTACGGCACCACTGTCAGACTTTTGAAAAACCTTTCAAGCTGAATGAATTTGCCTCTTTAAAAATCCTCCTTCAGCCATGTCTTCCTCTTACTGTCTACCTGCTTCATTCAACGTCATTTTCACCCAATTTGAGCTCTTTTCATCAGTCCTACTCTGTAATACTTCGGTGCACCTTCTTCCACTCGTCCCCAAGGGCATCTAGAAGTCATTTTCCCAGAGAACCTGCACTGTTCAGCGTTCTTAAGTTAAAATCACCTTAAGATGCAATGCTAATGAGGTTTTTAGTATTATTAAGCACAAACTAAGTTAGAAAAAGTCTTAAAGGAGGAAAATTCTGAACTCTGGAGGTCATCCTAATGCAACTTCTTTATCCATTAGGAAGCTTCTCAAAGCACGGGAACTACATATGGGGCAAGCTGTCAATAAAAATGTATTCGTAAGTGCCAGAAATGGTAAATGCTAGTCAATAAACATGAATAAACAGATACATTTAAGATTTGCATTGATTCCTTGTTGTCAACTGATTCTTCAGACTTTTCATTTGTGAGAATACCAGAAAACCACAATCAGAAATGTTTAATATGCAACTGCAAATCACAAATCAACAGTATGGATCATTTCACTTGAACCAATCACAAATTTACAAGTATGAATTTACAACCAGGGCTGCAAGTGCCACAGTTTGCACCATTGTTGCCTTGCAGCAAAAAAGGTCCTGGTTTTGATTCCTGGCCTGGGCGATTTCTGCATTGAGCACCCATGTTCTTCTCGTGTTTGTGAAGGTTCTCTCTGGCTTCCTCCCACAATCCAAAAACTTAAATGTTAGGTTAATTGGTATCTCTAAACTTGCTTAGTCGTGTGTGCATGGTGGTATGTCTCTCTGCTGCCCTGCAACAGAGTGGCAACCTGTCCAGGCTGTACCCTGCCTTTCGCTAAAGCATAACCTCCATTTCTCCAGGAGCCATACACCGCTGGAGATATGCACTAACCCCAACAAGACTCTGAGGACAGATCTTCAGAGTTTTTGATAAATCTAATCTGAAAATGTAACTTAAAAAAATAATAAAAAATGAAATAACTTGAAAAAATAGATTCTAAGAAAACGGTAATGTTACTCTTAATGCCCATTTTTGATTAAGAAGTTTCTTAAAACTCCCTGATTTTTTTTCAAAATTCAATGTAAATGATTATTTAATGCTGAGGTATGGAAGCAGAAATATCTAAGAGGTGCCACACATCGGCTCTCAGTTCTGCTCTACATGTAATTTGAATTGGGCAACAGAATGGCCAGATAGCTGCCTTACCTTCACAATCAGTTATTTTTTTCATTTTTAATTTATAGTCTTTAAACATACAAATATATATATATATATATATATATATATATATATATATATATATATATATATATATATATATATATATATATATATATATATATATATATATATATATATATATACAGGTGCTGGTCATAAAATTAGAATATCATGAAAAAGTAGAATGATTTCAGTAATTCCATTTAAAAAGTGAAACTTGTATATTATATTCATACATTACATACAAACTCATATATTTCAGATGTTTATTTTGTTTAATTTTGATGATTACAAATGACAACAAATGAAAATCTCAAATTCATCATATCAGAAAATTAGAATATTGTGAAAAGGTTCAAAATTGATGGCCCCTGGTGCCACACTCTAATCAGCTAATTAACTCAAACCACCTGCAAAAGCCTTTAAATGGTCTTTCAGTCTAGTTCTATAGGCTACACAATCATGGGGAAGACTGCTGACTTGACAGTTGTCCAAAAGACGACCATCGACACCTTGCACAAGGAGGGCAAGACACAAAAGGTCATCGCTAAAGAGGCTGGCTGTTCACAGAGCTCAGTGTCCAAGCACATTAATAGAGAGGCGAAGGGAAGGAAAAGATGTGGTCGAAAAAAGTGTACAAGCAAGAGAGATAACCGCACCCTGGAGAGGATTGTGAAACAAAACCCATTCAAAAATGTGGGGGAGATTCACAAAGAGTGGACTGCAGCTGGAGTGAGTGCTTCAAGAACCACCACACACAGACGTATGAAAGACATGGGTTTCTGCTGTCGCATTCCTTGTGTCAAGCCACTCTTGAACCACAGACAGCGTCAGAAGCGTCTTGCCTGGGCTAAAGAGAAACAGGACTGGACTGCTGGTGAGTGGTCCAAAGTCATGTTCTCTGATGAAAGTAAATTTTGCATTTCCTTTGGAAATCAAGGTCCCAGAGTCTGGAGGAAAAGAAGAGAGGCACTTCATCCACGTTGCTTGAAGTCCAGTGTAAAGTTTCCACAGTCAGTGATGGTTTGGGGTGCCATGTCATCTGCTGGTGTTGGTCCATTGTGTTTTCTGAGGTCCAGGGTCAACGCAGCCACATACCAGGAAGTTTTAGAGCACTTCATGCTTCCTGCAGCTGACCAACTTTTTGGAGATGCAGATTTCATTTTCCAACAGGACTTGGCACCTGCACACAGTGCCAAAGCTACCAGTACCTGGTTGAAGGACCATGGTATCCCTGTTCTTAATTGGCCAGCAAACTCTCCTGACCTTAACCCCATAGAAAATCTATGGGGTATTGTGAAGAAGAAGATGCAATACACCAGACCCAACAATTCAGAAGAGCTAAAAGCCACTATTAGAGCAACCTGGGCTATCATAACACCTGAGCAGTGCCACAGACTGATCGACTCCATGCCACGCCGCATTGCTGCAGTAATACAGGCCAAAGGAGGCCCAACTAAATACTGAGTGCTGTACATGCTCATACTTTTCATGTTCATACTTTTCAGTTGGCCAACATTTCTATAAATCCTTTGTTTTTATTGGTCTTCAGTAATATTCTAATTTTCTGATATGATGAATTTGAGATTTTCATTTGTTGTCATCTGTAATCATCAAAATTAAACAAAATAAACATCTGAAATATATGAGTTTGTATTTAATGTATGAATATAATATACAAGTTTCACTTTTTAAATGGAATTACTGAAATCAATCTACTTTTTCATGATATTCTAATTTTATGACCAGCACCTGTATATATATATATATATATATATATATATATATATATATATATATATACACACAATTAAAAAAATCATACAATGTAATTTCTGTTTTATTTTTTTTAGATTATGTCTTTTGCAGTGGACATGCACCTACAATGACAATTTCGACCCTTCCATGCGTTCCAAGTGGGAGAACTTACAAAAAAGCAGGAAGTTTAAACACTTATTTTCCTCACTGTATATAAATCAACACTACCACTTCCTGTTTAGCTGAGTGATACACCGCTCTCAGATATGAAGCAAAAGTAGAGACATTGAGTGCATTTTCAGACCCCGCTAGGAATTTTGTATTTCTTTTTTTTTCAAAGAAGGAACTGGCAACAGATGTAGTGACTTTTTCTGTGTTATAAGACTTTGAAAACAATAGTTGAATTAGTTTCTGGTCTTCAGCCATTAGTGAGAGCTGCTAAAATCCCAATCCACCAGTAGTTAGAGCAGAGAGGAGGTCAAGTTTGATCTGACAATGAGTCACCATATGCAAAACATTTGTTGTTCCCCTGTAGAATACAAAGTGAGATGCTAATTTTATGTTTATATATATATATATATATATATATATATATATATATATATATATATATATATATATACACCCTGTTATTTTGATGTATGGTGAAATAAAGATCCAATAGTTAATATTACTCATATACTAAGAGTTCAATGTAATAAGGCTGTTTTCTCTAGCCTCTGGAAATACAATTCACCTTGAGACATTATACAACAGGCAGTCTATGCAGCTTTTTTGACATGATGCAACTCAAATCCAGTGTGATGAAATGTGCGTGAATTAAAAGGACAAAGAAATGAACACTTACCGCATGGAGCGGATTGCCTTGATCGATCGGCACCTTAAAGTCAGCCTGGAGCTCATCAAAAGCTGTTATCTGAGGAAGAGGGAGGGAAAAAGGGGTGAGTGATCTAATCGGGGAGGAGTTGGGGCAGAGAAGAAGCATTCTTGGAGAGAAAGTATATCATTACTACCATCGGGCTAGCCTGAGGATTAATTCACCAAGCTGGACTCCGCATTGTGATTCTTCATATAGAACCAAGCTAATAAATAGAACTTATTGACACTTATAGTATCGGACAACAGTAAGTAAACTCCTAATATCATTGCAACTATTTCACTGTATGTTATATTGGGAAAACATTGAAGATATGAGACACTGATATAATGTAGAGGAGTCGTAGTACAGCTTGTATAAAGGTGTGCATCTTCTGTCCCCTTAAAATAACTGACAACTTTGGTATTGAAAAAGGGTGTGATTTGTCTAGAAGGGAAACCTAATATACAGTAAGGGGAACTCTCATGTTTGTTAAACCTTGCATGTCTATTCAAACCCAAGCCCTTTTTTTAAATGCCACACTGCTCTTTTACATTTTAAACATAAAACAAAATTGCACTGTTGACATTTCCGTCAAGTAGCTATGATGACGCCACCATGGTTCAGGTTGAGTAATTCAAGCAGTCTTCAGCAAACAGCAGCAGGTATACATATCTGAATGCACAACCAAACAGTGAAAGTTGTGTGTCATACACGCGCTGCTTTGTTTTTAAAAAATATATAAAAATATAACCGTGGATGTCTGGGGGACAGTGATTCGCCTACATGTTATGAATGCTGGCGTACCATAAATGATAAACTATGAACAGTTTAGTTTGTGCCTTCAAGTCGTTGTCCATAGGAAGACGTTACTTGGATATAACCTAACTGAATATCTTCAGAACAGCTCTAAATGACACAAAACTCATATAGATGAGAAGAACATGATGTAATAACGTAAAATCAAGGGGCCAATGTAAAAAAAAAACGGTGTTCCCCTTTAACCGGTACGGCAGAAGACTGCCATGTTAAGCCTGGTTCTGCCAGATGTTTCTTTCCAATGGGGAGTTTTTCCTCTCCACTGTCGCTTCATTCTTGCTCATCAGGGACAGCTTCTCTCCACCTGTGTTATCCAAACTTGACTTCCATCTTCCAGGTCTCTGAGGGAAGCCCTAGTATCAGCTCACGCAGTTCACCGGATCTCTCCATAAAGCCTCGCTAACCAGCAGTCTACAGACTGACCAACTTCAAGCCCTGTTCTTCACTCCTGTTCATGCATATCCATCAAAATTTAACGCCATATTCCCGCCGAGGTCTGAGCACCAAACACAAAGTAATTGTATCAATAAATTTCTTCTAATTGTCTTTTCTCTTCATGTGAGTTTTTTCATATTGAAATGTATTCATCATCCTAACCAGCGCTCTGTTTTCTGCTGATCATTTTGCATTCATTACATCTTGAAAGATTTTACATTCCTTCACATTAAAAATACAAATCTTTGTGATTATGATAAGGTTTTTATGTGATGAGGGCACCATCTTGTTTCTCATTCTATTGCAAATGAAAATCTGTAAAGTGTGAACTGCATTTGTATTCAGTAAACATTACAATGGAAAACGCCCTTTGACTGTATTTACAAATAAAATATTTAGAGGTACTGTATGTTTATGCCTTTATATTCAGGTTGTTTTGTTTTCCATTTTATTCCCAAAACAACTTAATGTCAGACAATTGCATCTGTCTTTTTAACATTTAGGTTTGAAATTTGACTACCATTAATTGTTCATCATTGATTGTCTTTAAGGATCATTCCAGAATTTGAGGACCATGTATGGAGTTAAATTCATTCCATTATTGTTGCAGAAAAAAATCTGATGCAGATGCAGATTCAAATGGACAAAAAAAATAAAGAAATCATATTTAATTTACTCAAAAAAGGTTTTAGCTTTGCTGCTTATCCACATTGTATTATTTAAAAGGATCATGACTTTAAAATTGTGTTTTAAAGATCATATTCTTTTCACAGAGGATGCTTTTTTCTCTGGAGTGAGGAGACAAGGCCCATTTCTATTGATTTACACGGATGGTAGCAACAACCTTTCGATAGGTCAATGTGCTCTTCAAAAGCGAGTGTTGGTATTGGGCCTGAAGTGAAGAGAATGTGATCTGCGAGACCTTAGGTGAAAAAATATGAATACATAAACTGAAGAAAATAAACTGATAATATATACCATATATATATATCTGGATTTATTTTCCTATATATATATATATATATATATATATATACACTATATTGCCAAAAGTATTTGCTCACCTGCCTTGACTCACATATGAGCTTAAGTGACATCCCGTTCCTAATCCATAGGGTTCAATATGACGTCGGTCCACCCTTTGCAGCTAGAACAGCTTCAACTCTTCTGGGAAGGCTGTCCACAAGGTTTAGGAGTGTGTTTATGGGAATTTTTGACCATTCTTCCAGAAGCGCATTTGTGAGGTTGCACACTGATGTTGGACGAGAAGGCCTGGCTCTCAGTCTCCGCTCTAATTCATCCCAAAGGTGTTCTATCGGGTTGAGGTCAGGACTCTGTGCAGGCCAGTCAAGTTCATCCACACCAGACTCTGTCATCCATGTCTTTATGGACCTTGCTTTGTGCACTGGTGCACAGTCATGTTGGAAGAGGAAGGGGCCAGCTCCAAACTGTTCCCACAAAGTTGGGAGCATGGAATTGTCCAAAATGTCTTGGTATGCTGAAGCATTCAGAGTTCCTTTCACTGAAACTAAGGGGCCAAGCCCAGCTCCTGAAAAACAACCTCACACCATAATCCCCCCTCCACCAAACTTTACACTTGGCACAATGCAGTCAGACAAGTACCGTTCTCCTGGCAACCGCCAAACCCAGACCCGTCCATCAGATTGCCAGATGGAGAAGCGCGATTCGTCACTCCAGAGAACGCGTCTCCACTGCTCTAGAGTCCAGTGGCGGCGTGCTTTACACCACCGCATCCGACGCTTTGCATTGCACTTGGTGATGTATGGCTTGGATGCAGCTGCTCAACCATGGAAACCCATTCCATGAAGCTCTCTGCGCACTGTTCTTGAGCTAATCTGAAGGCCACATGAAGTTTGGAGGTCTGTAGTGATTGACTCTGCAGAAAGTTGGCGACCTCTTCGCACTATGCGCGTCAGCATCCGCTGACCCCGCTCCGTCAGTTTACGTGGCCTACCACTTCGTGGCTGAGTTGCTGTCGTTCCCAAACACTTCCATTTTCTTATAATACAGCTGACAGTTGACTGTGGAATATTTAGGAGCGAGGAAATTTCACGACTGGATTTGTTGCACAGGTGGCATCCTATCACAGTTCCACGCTGGAATTCACTGAGCTCCTGAGAGCGACCCATTCTTTCACAAATGTTTGTAAAAACAGTCTGCATGCCTAGGTGCTTGAATTTATACACCTGTGGCCATGGAAGTGATTGGAACACCTGATTCCAATAATTTGGATGGGTGAGCAAATACTTTTGGCAATATAGTGTATATATATATATATATATAGGAAAAGAAATCCAGATATATATGGTCTCATATAAATGCCCTTGGGAGACACATATATATGCCCATCTTGGGCGCATCTTAGTTATTAATTTTCAACTTTGGATCAAAATATATTAGTTTTAGTAACATCTAAGTCATTAGGATATGTTATAGTTCTAGTCGCTTTTACTCGAATAACACTTAAAAGAGGTTTAGTCTAATTTTAGTCAGCTTCATGTTGCAAAAAAGGTTAATCTTTAAAATTTCAAATAACAACCAGATTATTGACCAGAGTGACAGCTCTATCCTAGATGCTACAATAGCTGGGCATATTTGCTGCCATGCAGTTCATCATGGCTGTTGGGCATAAAACTTTGATTTATAGAATTCAAACAAAACTTTTTATAAATAAATGCTCTACTTTATACAACACAGTCTCACAAAAACTGTGAAAATAGCAGATCTAACACATCATATTGGTCAAAATAGCAGACAAACAAGCTAACAAAATTTACAATAAAGGAATGGTTTTAGACGTACAAGGTTTCCATCCCAAGGCAAACACTTCCTGATCTACTGTGAAATACGAATTACACACAGATCAATAAAATCTTCATTGCTCCACAAAAAAACAATCAGTATGCAATGCAATATTTGCTTTGGATAATATAATTATAATAGAAATTAAATAAGGTTTAGCATCAACTCTTGTGAGTTGGAAGAAATAAAATCTTGATAGTTAGAAAAGGATTTTTTTGACGCTTGGCAGAGGATGATCAGCCACATATAGCTTATTGAGTAGCGAGAGAAGGAAGAGTCATACTGCTAAGAGTGAACAATCGGTGTGGAGCATAAACGCAGACTCTGAGCTAAGCACGCAAAAAGACACATTTCTGCACAAGCAGAGCTGGAAGAGCAGAGTTTGTCAGAGTTGATTGCGCAGTACCGGACCATTCCGGATTACTTTCATCCCTTACAGCTGCTGCCATGACCCATCTGTGGTCATGGTAGATGGAAGGTGGGCGGTGTGACCAAACAGGACGTAGCAGCAAGGCTGATACTGCTTAGCTTGTCTAACAGTTTACATGATGATGCATTTAACCTGCTAACGTTTTTATTTAGTCTCATCTCATCGATGAGAACTCACACCCATGAGTCGTCATGTTTTTGTCATCAAAGATCCATGTTTAGCTCTTCAGTTTTCATTATCATCATGAAAAAAGGAGCATCAACGAAATAATTTCATCGTCAACATTGACGAAAACAACAGTAGACACCAAGCCAGACATAGTTGCAGTAAATTTCTGAAAAGCGAAAATAACCAGTTTATGCTAACCTGGCTAGTATCAAAAAAGAGCAGCAAAACAGAAACACAAGGAAAAAGAGGGGCTAATGAAAACCGAAAAAGGACATTTAAGCCCACTGATAACAAGTTTTGACTCCTGAACATAAAACTAAAATTCTGTTCTTGCAAGCACTATTTCCGTACCTGCAGCTAAAGGCTGTAGCACCTGTGTGATTTG